CCGGCCCTCTGCTTCCCAGCCCCCCCCTCAGAAGCTGCTTCCGGAGCATGCTCAGACCCTGGAGCGTTACGCCTGGGAGTCTTTTGACTCTCACAGCCAGGGTAGGTGGTTCCTCTCTTCGGCTGACTATCTCTAGCTTCCGGCCTGTGGACAGCAGGATCTGCCCTGGAAGGAGAGGCGAATCGGAGAAGCTAACCACTGCTTGCACCTGTAAACACGCATGATGCTAGTATAGTGAGGACAGAGTGGGAGAACTGGTTTTGACTAGTACAATAGGCTTGGAATAAAAAAAAAATAAAAAAAACGTAATGCAGCTTAAAAAATAGCCCTGCAGTGTGATTTTTAAAACCAGTTTCAATTTCACTTCCATTTGGAGTGACTTTAGATTGAATCCTCCCCTGAGCTCTAATGCATTGTATGTCAAGAGGTTGTCTCTCTCACTCTCTCTCTCTCTCTCTCTCTCTCTCTTTCTCCCTCTTTCCTTCAATATTCTCTCCTTCAGTGACGTTTCTTCCCGAGAACGTGTTCCTGCTTCTGCAGTCTGTGGTGGTAAGTGCTCGGCTGTCGTGGCGTGACAGAGACGAATCACTGCATCAATGCAGTTTTCTTCCAGCTGGGTTCATATTTATAGGCGTTAAGCATCTTGCTGGCGAGTCGCTCGCGCGGCGCATCTCCCCGCGGCTGCTGTTTGGCTTTCCGGCCGCGCGTCGGTGCACAGGGTGGATGGCTGTGTTCTGGTGTCGCCGAACAGCTGCTCGGCGTGTGGCGGGGTGTAAAACATGCCGTCGCCTCACCCACCAGATGTTGTCTGATTCTTTGACTGTGAAATAAGTTATCTCTCTTTTTTTTATTTTTTATTTTTTATTTGCAATATTGTTTTTAACATCATAGTATGTCCACAGCCCCCCCTTACGACAGCAAGGCTACACTTGTGAATATTTTTCTGTTCCGTTCATTCAGTTATACTTGTATAGCTTTTTTTACGACATTATATTATAAAGCACTTTACATTATCCCTGCCCACAGCCCCCAGTGAGCCAACCACAGCAACCAAACTCAAAACGGAAGCCCATCCTCCAGGGTTTTGAAACAGTTGAATATGTCTGTTTCTGCATTATGGACCTTTTATTGTTTTTAGCGACAATAAGTCAAGTGGCAGTGCAGCAGCTAAAGAGGCGTCTTTACTGGGAGACTGGGAAAAGCTACCTGTAAGCTGACGTGGAATGTGGTTGGTTAGTATAACAGCTGCTCTTCTCTGATTGGTTCTGACAGCAGCGCAGTGGAGGGGTGGGTGGAGGGGAGTAATGTTTCTGGGTGTGAGATGCTCCCCATGGTGCCGGTTGCATAGTACTGAGGTCATGTTGCTGCCCTGAGATCAAATATACCTCCATTTATAAATACTAACTGAGCGGCATATGATTTGGTGTAAGACTGCCCTCAGGGAATGGGTGGGGGCCTGTTTTTCACTGCAAAATGCAGTGTCCTCGGATAAATGTGGGCAAAGGCTGACGTTCGCCCGCTGAGATTAATGGCAAAGTGTGATATCTGCAGAGGAATGAAAATGGGCTCCTATCGTCTCCCTCCAATCAGATAAAGGAACTCATTTCTGATTAGCAGTATGGGGAGATTATGGAGTGAGGTCGTGCTTTATCTCTGAGAGCCACTCGCTCTCCTAATTGGCTGATTAGGTTCTGCCTCACTCTCCCCCGACCCCTTTTTCTCTCCCGGCACACTCCTGAAAGCTGGCTGTGTGAGGCCTGCCTACAGATTGCTGATGTAACAGATTATTATGGCCCAATTGGTGCTGCTTTTCTTTTTTTTCCGGAGTGTGGTGGCCATGTGTGACGCGTATTTAGGGGTGTTATGATATAGGGCGCTGACATCTGTGCCTTGCAGATGGCCTGTCAAGAAAAAGATACGGAATCTTTGAAATCCCTGCAGACCGAGTTGTGGTGAGTGGCTTCTGAATGCGTGCTTATGTAAGCATTATGTATTATTTATCGTGAATCCTACCGGTATGGAATATCAATTGCCTGTGTTCTTTGTCTCCGTCCCTCCCCTTCCATTCATTTGTCCAGGCCTCTGCTTTCTGCAGAACAGAATCATCTCCTCCATTTGGTGGTACAAGAACGCATCACCCCCTCTGGACAAGGCATTTAAGCAATAATGGAACATTCCCATTGTATTCTAGCAGACAGGTTATCTGCTAGGCCAAGGCACACACAGCACGAGTACAATGAAGGTCTAGATCTGTATCATTCCCCTCGAGCAGCCTGGGCCATTCATACAGGGGTGGAGCTTGACTTTTGTCCTTTGTTTATATGTAAATCAGGAGTTGTATAAAGTCTTTAAACGTGTAACTTAATAAATGACTTAAAACGGTACGTTTTGTTAGAATGGGTCTGTGTATTAGGCAGTATGATGGTTACAGTAGCTCTGTTGCATTCGAGTCACGTCTCCACTGTCTGTGTCGAGCATTCCGAGTGTCGTGGGTTTCCGCTGCGTTTCTTCACTCAAGATTCCTCTCAGTCTAAAGACATGCAGTTAGGCTAATTGGTGTCTCTGAATCTCCCATAGGGTATGATTTTGTGCGTGTGTGTGTGTTGGTGCACGTGTCCTGTGACAACCTGGCATCCCATCCAGGATGCACCCCAGTCCTGCAACACCTAGAATACTTGAATAGGCTCTAGCCCACCCCTCCCACCCCATCACTGACCAGGGTAAGTGGTTGGAAAATGGCAGGATGATGTGTTTTAAATATGCTGTCCTGTAGTCCAGACTAGATCAACATTTCTGACCTGAAATTTGTATTTTCCTGTCTGATGGTCACTCGCACTTTGCTGGGCTGAAGAAACAGGAGTGTTTATGTGATGTTCCTGCTCCCGTACTTTTCTGTGTGCAGTGGCGTGACTCCCTCGACGGACACATCGTCCCCGCAGACAAAACAAAACAGGGCATCCGCGGGCGAACGGGAGGCCCTGACGCGGTGCGGTTTGTGCGCGCATACTGTGTCTTTAAAGTGGGGAGGGGAATATTAATATACTCCATAGGCCAAGGGCTGGGGAGCTCTGCTTCCAGGAAGAAATCCTACACCATGGGGCGACTGCACTGTGTGTGTCTTTGTGTGCATATGGGCTACTTCACGGGGGATGTGCAGTTTTCACTAGAAATCTGTGAAAATATTTCCCAGTCTCAGGTTCTGTTTTTTTTTTTTTTTTTTTTGTGTGTGGGGGGGGGGGGGGGGGGCAATTTCAATAACACGCAGCGAAATGGCTCCATGTTAAATGTCAGGATGTTGCATGGCGTAAAAAGATTCCTCTCTGCTTTCTGGTGCCCTTGGTTCTGTGTGTGCAGCATGTGCAGAAGCTTTGGTGATCACCTCTCTCGTTATGCCTTCATTGAACACGACTTCTATGCTCTCCTTCCTCTTAGGAGCCTTTCTGGATGTCGTGGCCAGATGCGAGGTTACCAGAGTTCTTCTGCTCATGCTGCTTGAGGTACACAAAGACTTGAACCACGATATATATATATATATATATATATTTTTTTTTTCTTTCTTTCTTTCTGGACANTTTTTCTTAACTTCCCTCCTCCTTTCACTGAAGGCCCTCATCCTCCACCATTTTGTCGTTGTTAAAAACGTGCAGTTTTTCCTCTCTTTTTTCCTGATTTCATTCACGCCATTTGACTGGTTGTCCGTCGTCGGCTCTCCTCCCTCCCGTGGAACCACCTCTCTGAGAGGGCCTCCCTCAGCCACAAACCCTGACTGTTTATCTGTCTGTCCTGCCAGGTTCTTTGGTCTAGGTCGCAATAAGCGATGGCCCCGAACCACAGAAGCGCATGCTGCTGTTTTTCGCTTGTGAGCAGTAGCGACGTGCAGTATGACCGAGGTGCTGCTCTGTGCTTGTTCCTTCTGGAGAGAATCCACTACTTTCCTGAATCCCCTGAAAGCCTGATCGCTTCTCTATTGGCCGCTTTCCACTGCCACCAAGGACCGAGGCAAACCATGAAGAGATGGTTTTCCATTGTATATTATGCGAGCCGTACCTGAGCCGTACCCACACTGACGTGACACTTGCAGGGCTGAAAGTGTGACCAAACAGAGTTGGTTGTGTCACCACCATCTGATTGGTTGAAATGCATGGAGACAAGTAAGAACCGGTCATCCACGTCAATATGAATTGATTATCTAAAGGAAAAAGGGCATATTGTATATATTATTCCTTATTACTAGTATTGCCCGTCGCCATGTATTAATCCATTCCCAATAACTCAGAACTTGAAAATTTCCAGCTACTTGTAAAAGTACTATAGAATGGTTGAAAAGAATGGATTCGTAATGCAAATTTACACAAGCTCACGCTAATTCCTTCAGTGTTTGATGCAAACATAACATGGCGAATCTCACAGACGTGTTAGCGGAATTTAGCACACAGTGAATCATGATGTACGCTGTGTGAACAGTAAACGGGCGTATTCGGTTATGCGTTACTGTCGCTCTCCAAACCTAGCAACGCTTCTATTGAACCGACCCTTCTGCAGTGGAAAACCGAAGCGAGCTGGAACCATGCTGTAATTAATATCTCTTCCTGGTACGGGCTGGTTCCCGTATGCCAGTGGAAACGCACCATATGGCCCTTGACCTTAACCTCCCTTTGCACACAGAGTAATGAATAGGAACACAAAAAATAGAAATGATGAGCAAAACATCTTTTTCTCCAAAAAAAACTTCATAATACGTTATGCAAATTTACACTGATTAAAATTCCAGTAAAAATGTTAGAAAACAAATTCTATATACATGTACCACAACGTGCTTAAACATAGTTGTCCTGTTTTACCTGAATTATTTTTTATCTAGTACAGTTTTTTGGCCTGACTGATCATATATATATATATGTAAAGTAATATATGGCTCATAAAATACAGTCATTGAAATTACATTTCAGCATTATGTATATGTCAAAATCCTATCAATAATGTTCCATGCTACCTACCAGTGACTTATTACACAATAGTGTAGTACACATTGCGACAGCTTGGTGGTGCTCTGTCATGCTTCCATCTCAAATGGAAAACTTGGAACTGTTCTCGTAGAGCAGGGTTTCGTGGAATGTTAAAGAGTATGACAAACACTTATCACCCCTGCCAGTCACACAAGCACCAACATTGACCATAGTTTCATTTTCAGCGAGAGCAATTGAATTTCCGAAACCCGGTCATAGTCTGCTGTGCCTGCTGCCATTTAGTTCAACATTTAGACTTTGTGGAGTTTCTAAAAAACAAGGCTTATTGACCCCTGTATGGGTGAGGGTGGGAGAAAGTGAAACTAAATGAAATGTTGCTTCCCTCCAACAGACCACTTATTAATCGTGGCACATGATTAATGATGACTAGGGTTGGTTTGCCCGTGCCATTTATGAAAGCCATTGTTTTGTGCTCCTATAATGCCCTCAGTGTCACATTTAAACATACCTTGAAAACATGACCAAAAATCACATGCATAATTCAACTTTCATCTTCTACCAAATGAATGAACACCACCGTACAGAAGTTGGTTCAAAGGATGATCAGTCCTGGGGTACCGTACGCTCACTAAGTAACGTTTGTTATATACAATGTGTTTTAGTTAATTCTTTGCACCATCTCATTGTTTGCAACCCTTACGTAACCTGCCACCTCCTCCATCATCACGTTCCCTTAATTTCTACAATTGTTCTAAAATGGATGGAAGTTGTTTCTTCCACCAAGAAAAACATATTGGTACAATACACTTGATACGCTGTATATTTTCATCTCCTCTTTCAGATCTTTATCCTTTGTGACTCAACTAACCAGCGAGTTACTAAGAGACTGAGGAACCTATAGTAATTTTAATATCTACTCTTGGATTCTTTATGAAAGTATTCTTTGCCTTCCTTTTGCCCCGACCTTTTCATGACTCGGTGGTCGTCTTGAGCAGGAAGAAGTAGCAGATACTGGAGATGAAGGTGAGGACAAAGGAAATCCACGCCAGGACGTAGGAAGGGCCGTACCAGCCGTCCTCGTCCTTGTGGAAGGTGGCCGTGTAGACAGACGCAGCTATCATTATACAGAGACCTGGAAGGGTGAGAAACACAGTCAGAACAGTACCGCTCAGATAGGAGTAGGACGACGGCTTACAAGTGAGTGCTCTGGGCAATTGAGACGATAAATAGAGATTAAATCATGAATCATGAGTGAAGGGACTATATAATAGATGGGAAAGACGGATATTACTCGAATGGTCCTGGTGCTTTAAGTTCAACTTTAACTGACCTTAATGTCACATGCTTGTGTATGTATGTGTATTTTGGTAAGATTTTTTTCAGATTGTCAGTATATTGTCAGTAGATTGTTTATAGATTCTTAGCATTTTTGTGTGTTGATGAAATTATACGCAGACCTGTAATCATATCTTTGTGAGGGCTGCTCACTCATTTCTATGGGAAAAATGCTAATGCATTTTATTGCTTACCTGCTTGCCTTGAATGTCCCTCTGGGGACAAATTAAGTATTTTGAATTGAATTGAATTGAATCTAAACGAATTGAAACAAAATTAAACGAAACTGGAAGAAACCCCTGACAGAGTGAGCTGCACTCTCAAAAAAAAAAGGGTAAAAATTAGTACCTTTGCTTGTCACTGGGGCTGTATCCTTGTATTTGGACATTTTAAAGTACAGACATGGACGCTGAGGAACATCCCAAAGGTACAAAGAGCATTAATGTACCATCAATTGTACAGAAATGTTCCTGAGAGTCCATTTCTCTACCTTAAAAAGTACAGTTACCTACAGCTAAGGGTACGATTGGCAGAGGCACAGTGACAAGCAAAGGTACAAATTTTTGCCCTTTTTTTGAGAGTGTGGTGAGGCTGGTGCAGTGGGTACCTGCCGGGGCGTGTGAGTGTGTGTGGGCCATCAGAGCGTGTTGGGACGGCCTACTCACAGGAGACGAGCTGGAAAACGCAGGAGAGTATGAACTTCTGCCCCTTTCTGAGCAGGAAGAGCTGAGCCACGTACACGAAAAGGCCCAGGATGGAAAACAAACAGGCTAGCACTGTGGTGGCCTGCACAACCTGGAGTGGCTCTGGGGAGGGAAATAGCGGGGGGGGGGGGGGGGGGTGGTATTCAGAAGCAAATGAATGATGTGATTGCTGCAACATGGCATCAGCACAAACATACTACCACACAGCAGTACAAATAACTCATGTATACATGTGAGCAAGGAAGTATGATCAAAAGTGTCCCCCCCCCCAAAAAATTTTTTTATAAAATTCAAATTCAACGGACCATTAATATTACTTAACAATGACTAAGGGAATGGCACTGTCTTAGCATAAAAACAGGGAGAACAGTGTTCTTTATGTGTAGAGTAATGTGGGACATCTACCGTCAGGGTAACTGCCAGGCAGTTCACTGTATGTCCAGCCTCTGCCCACCATTCTCCACCTTCCCCACACATCTGTCGCCATCGTGTCCGTATACCACCACGCCTGAGGGAGACGGCAGGTTTCACTCAGTGAACATAGACACTACAAGAAATGACGTGAATAGATCTCCAAGTGACGGAAGTGTAGCTAGATGAGGCATATATGTCAAATACATCCATCTGACTTGTTCTGAGTGTGAAAACAAATCTCAAGAATGTGACTAAAATGCTTCGTCAGAACCTGAAAGTTGTTATGGCCTCATTGTTAACCGTATTTGCCAAAATACATCATAGAAACAGATATTTTATAGATCCCCTGAAGTCTAAATGTGAGGGTGTGTGTGAACAAAGCAGCAGATTGTCTAGTCTGACGCCAACTGGCGAAGTGTTGACAGGTGGAGGCAGAAAAGTCAACAGCTGAGGACAGGAAGGGCAGTTCTGATGGGGGGAGGGACTCAGAGTCACGCTCACGTTTTTGATGGTGGCGATGAGGAGAAGGATCACAGTGGTGACGTGAAGGGTGAAGATGCTGGCCACGTGTATCCACATGCTATCTGAGAGAGAAGCGCCGAAGATACGTTATGCAGTTACTGGATTCCACTGGATTCAGAGACACACTGGCAACTCTTCTGATGGTATAAGTTACTACAGAAAGTTCTCAGAAGTACTGAGTACTGTTAGATGCCTAAAACATAACGTGTTGCACAGTGTATGAATTCAAATTCATATAATATATTACCTTAAAGTAAATGCATATAAGCTATATATAATATGGTACGTGCCCTGCGATGGGCTGGCTCCCTGTCCAGGGTTGTTCCCTGCCTCGTGCCCATTGCTTCCGGGATAGGCTCCGGACCCCCCGCGACCCAGTGGGATAAGCGGGTTGGACAATGGATGGATGGATAATATGGTACGTGTGATTCTCTACTGCAGCAGAAATTTGTTAATGAGCAGCATGGTGGCATATGTTTAGAATAATTTAAACTACCATGCAGCCTTGTGGTTTCCATACAACCCTCACCAAATGTCCCGATTGTAATGTAAACTAAAATATTAGCACTAAAAAAATGCAGATAGTTACATATTGAAACATCCTGACAAAATACTGTATCCTTAAGATTGCATTTTCCGAGTGACAAAAATCTTACTACACGAGTACGATACTCATGAGAAATATTAAAGCCAAAATATCCCGAAAAGCAAAAAAGTGCAATCTAAATACCATATGTCTTTCACGAAATGGGAGGCAGACTTCATTATCGATCTTCAAAACATCTGGGAGTGTCCCATTAAATCAACAAAGTCTTTAGACCTCCAAATCTGGCCATATTTGGTTAATATATTTAAATCAGAAAATTAATTAATCAGCAGCTTTTAGCAACACGGTTCGGATATTTAACTGAAAGCCAAGTACAGTACCAATGATTTTACTAGTATTAGCAAACTACAGGATTACCTACCTGTTAAGGTCCGTTTCCAGAAACTGAATTCGAGCTTCCAAGGAAGTATTGCCGTTTAGAAATGAAAGCAAATCGAATTATGTAGTCAATACAGATTTAACTTTTAAGTATATTTTACTTGTATATTTTACTTTCTTTACTTGTAATATATCTTTCGCTTAAACGTTAAACAGTTTCAGATTAACTCGATAAAATTAAAGTATTTAACGATATATGTTGAAAGTACTAAGTACTGGATCTTGTGTCCAATCTGAATGCACTGAATAGATTTTAAAATGGGTGTGCAAGGCAGTCGATTTATTTATTGACGCCCTCTTCGTCGTTTCTAAATTTCAGATACAATATTTCGATCCCGTATGCTACACAAATTCCCATAAACACGAGACCCCACCCCGCCTTCTGTCCTCCCCGCCCTCTTCATCCACCCCTCTGCCGTCTCTCATTTCCCAGTTGGCCATGCACAACTACTTTCTCTTTTATGTCCCAGCTCTGCCTTATTTATGCTTGTCCACATTGAACAATACAATGAAGCGAAAATGCTTCTTTTTTTCTGAGGACATATGTTTGAACTTAACTTGACGATGCATTTTTGTGATTGTTTTTTTTTTAATCTTATAATTATTGCTTTGTATGCTGGCTATAGATTCCTGGAACAGGAATTTGCACTGCATGTCATACTTTTAATGGGATTTTTAAGCTTGCCCTGCCCCCTGTATCACAGCAGTCTGGGCTCAGAGTTCATGCACTTCTTTTGGGTTTGCCCCACCGCACTGGCACGCCTCCCCACGCAGGCACAAAGCAGACCTTTTTTGAATAGCACAACCATGCGCTGCATATTGCTGGGGCCCCACACCCTCAACCCCGCTGGTCAACCCAGCAAAAAAACAAAAAAAAAACACCCGCGCACACAGCCATTCCTTTAAGCTGAGAAAAGCGTATTGAACCATATGCAAGATGTTGTAATACATGAATCCCGTACATATAAAACTCACCTTCTTAAGGGAGAAAGCAAAAAAGACAGCGTGTGCAAAAGAAATTTTCGTAGATCTGTCTGAAGTCCACAGACAGGCTCGTATTTTATATTTCTTGTAAACACGTGCAAGGGCTTTTTTAAAAGGCACGTGCGTTCCGCAGTGGCACAGTTCAGGGTACCATGTAATGTCTTTTTTAATGTTTTCTTCACGAATAATTTAATTTATATGCTCACTATAGTATTGTTTTACACATTGTTTTCTATAGGTTTCCAAAGTATATATGGCGTCATGTTCCGTATATTCTCAAAGTAAATGGTAATGATACCATAATTTTTCAACGTGGGTAGTCTTTTTTTTCATACATTGTACTTATGTAAACATTTTTTCAACCGTTTTCACCGGTTTTAGTGTTAGCTTACACGTTTCCCCTCAAACTCTCCCTCACCGCCCCCTCGCCACGCTTCCTTTCGCACCGGCTCCCCTTCTCCTCTCAATGAAATCCAGACACTCGTACCTTGTTCCAAAGATTTTGAGTGAAAACAATACCTCTACGTAACCAGGCAACCATTTTCCGTCACCAGATGACCACGCCCCTTCTGACTGTCGTGGGCTTCCAGTACAGTGGCCGTGTGCAACCCAGCCAGCCCGCTAGACGAGGAGCTTAAATCGTTTAACATTTGTTATTTTTCTTTGTCTTACATTCTTATGTTGAGGCCTCAAATCCTCAAACCTTAAATTCCATTTTAAATTGTACGTAAAAGCAACGTCGGAGACTTAACAGTAATAAACCTAACACAATAAACTGGAAATTGCCTTTCTTTGCTATATTTGACCGTCTCTCGTAGCCATTTTTAAGGGTCAGGCTTTCCTGCACTCTGCATCTTTCACAAAATATGGTGGAAGGAGGGAGAGGGGGCTGGGTTGGTAACAAGAGACTTTTTCGTCGTCGTCGTCCCCCAGCAAGGCCAGATGTTAAACAGATGTGGAGGATAAAACTACCCCACTTGTCAAGCTAACAAGGTTGTTTCTGTTAACAACTTTCGGCAACAAAACAGTCACATTTCAGTATGATTTTTTTCTCCTATTATAACTGATTTAGCCAAGTCTTTTTAACGATTTCTCTATTTGTTGTTAAGATACATGTATTTCTATCCAGCTGAAGAAAACAGAATGGGTCCACTACTTGGCAGCACATTCCAGAAACACTGAAACAAAGAATTCAATTGTTTTGTATTTTATATTTATTATACAGCCCCGATGTGTATAGTTCATCAAATACAATTTCCAAATTCAGCAACTTTAAGTGGGCGTTAATTAACACACGAACAGCCGGCCGATGAGTGCAATGAAACGAAATGAAAAGTTCTAAAGAAAGCAGTTTTTGCAAAATATTTTTAACTATATTAGCATGGGTTAGCCATAACTAATCGGAAGTAGGCCTAATGGTTATTTTCAAGAATTTGTCGACATTCAACTTAGGCAGCCACCAGAGTTAATTCTGTTTCCGTTAATAAATAATATATAGCTTTAGGGTGATCGTCGATTTTAACAATTTGATTACATTCACACAGTGGAGATGACAGAACTGAGTCACAAAGGCGTAGCAAATTGGAGCGGCTCTCGAAACGCGTGAAAACGCAAAGCAGCGGCGGCTTGGATTGGCTGCCCTCCCCACCGGGAGTCCGCTTTATGTCGGGGAGCATATAGGCGTCTCTTCGATATTTCGCCCCCACTGAATTTTGTTCCTTTGGCTCGGCGAAGCGTGATTGTGAATGATCGACCGTCTGTGTAAAAATTCTAACTTGTCATGTCTTGGGAGGACAAGCAGATCGTTGTATCAACATGTGCTTTAATTGTAATTCTCTGCATTGTAAACACGTGTCGCGGTTCCAATGCAAGCTTGGCGACACCGAGTGCTTTCGCTCTACGTAGACTATACCGTGTCAGCACCAGCATAAAGCATAATCTTGGTGGTGGGAATACCGTAACAGATGCCACTTTTGGAAAGCTGGTATTTTCACGCGATTTTAAATCGATGCATGGTGGACGCCGCAATGGCGTCTCTCTGAAATGGATCCACAAAGAGTACGAGCACCAAGAGACCTCGCAGGCCAGTACATTTGTTAACCGCCCTGGTAGGATTTTTTCTTTGACTCTCCCTTATTCGATAAGAACTCGATAAGATTTCTCACAGACATACAAAAATGAAAGATCAGTTTTATTCGTCTAACTGTATTGGACGTCATTTAAACCAAAATTACTATTGCACTACACTAACTACAGGATTTGCAGTCGCAAGTGGATCGAGTACTTAAGTTTCTAAAGAACCGTTCTCTTTCGCGTTCCTCATGGCTGTGAAACAGGCCAGGTCCGCGGTTTTCCCGCCCAATTGGGCTCTTTCGAAAATACATTTGTGGGTAAATATTAGATCGCGTGTTGCGGGTTTTTGGGCTGATTCATAATGATCCATGGCAGCAGACTTTAACGAGAAAAAGAAAATAATTATGAATTCTTATGAAGTCTCCTAATCCTGAGTGATACTGAAAAGTTAGAGACCGACGCACACAGAAAGCAGGGTCGCCACCTCTCGCGCCTCTGGCATGACAGTCAAGTTTGCAGACTCACGCAAATCGTTCGGCACAAATGTATATTATTCCACTATAAACCTAAAATTTAGCTACGTGAGAAGCGTTGTTGCATGTAAATGCGCGTGCATTTCTTTTCTCGAATTGAAAATCTCACTCCAGCCAGTTGACCAAAGTTTGCAAAACTGGGAGAGTGCGTCCGTCTGTGTGACGTCATTGCGCTTAACTGTGGTTTTAAAATGTTGAATATTTGAATGCGATCAGCATGCCAAATGCTGGTTTATTTCTGTGAGATACAGTATACTGGAATTTACCTGACAACATGTCAGAAAGCCCCTTATAATGATGGCTATAAGACTAGGGCTCTGGTAAACTTAGGTGATGGTATATTTTTATCCTGGGTCACCTTGAAAGTAATTATCCATTACTTGGTTATGATACGCTTTGGGTAAGTAAGTTGTTGGGTGTACAGCCTTTATCAGTTGCTGCCTAATTTTAACAGGGCCGCGGAACCGCAGGCAGGTTACAGGAAAGGTCTTTGGCCCGTACCCTGGATCTGGCGATACAGCTCCCGGAAAATGGAGTGCAATGAGGCCCGTTGTACAGTGCAAAATCAATTTGATGATGCTCACTGCGCCGGGCCAAGCATACAAACATCTACTAATAGACAGAGGTACCAGCATTGAAGAATGTATAAAGGAGTACTAGCTTAATGGATATTTGCCATTTCTGGTATCTTAATAAGTCCCCTTTGCATTGTTTCAGGAAATACCCCTCCCCTACCCTTTTCCCATCTGCCATCTAGCTGTGGTTACTCTGTGAAGGTGACATGGAGGGATGTGATTTTGATTACACCATATGACGGTTGCTATATCATTCATCAGGTACAGTTCCCCAGATGGCTTCTAGTGCTGCTGTGTATATTGTAATATTAGGTGCTTTCCCACTACAGGAACCTTTTTCAGGGACCAGAAACTTATGTCATGTTCCTACCGCAGGGACTCAACCAGATTGTAGGTCTTAGGAAGTAGTTCCTGGGGAAATAAAAATTAATATATAATTATTATTTTTTTGTCCATATTTGAATAGGTATTCTGCACTCAAAGAACTAGTGAGTGTGGCTTATGGTGATTAACTTTGGTTGTACCCCAATTTAATAGTAAAATTTATAAAAATGTCGTGCCATATACAACTGCTGTCGCGTTTTGAACCGATACAAAGTTTGAATATGAAGTTTAACCTATGAGCTTTTTGTGTCTCCCCCCCCTGCTAATTTAGCATAAAGGTCACAGTTCCTATTATGCAGTGGGAAAGCTACACACACAAGCGACCAGGAACTACAAAAGTTTGCAGTCAAGTTGAACCAGGAAATAGGAACCAGAAACTAGGCGGGAAAGCACCTTCTAGCCAATGATATTTTTAATTTTCTTCATTTTTGTCTTGACCCTGATTTACTGTGATGGTGATTGTGTTCTGACTGGTAATACTGTTGTCTTTATCTTTCAGAATGGCACTTATGTTCTGCCGTTGCTTTGGTGGGGGGCTCCTGTCAAGATGGTCTGCCCTGATGTCGTGCCCCCCCCACATGTCCATCTTTCTGTCCGTTGCTGGCTTTTTGGCATGTCCCTGCATATAAAGGCACAGAAACATGAAATTAACAACCTCAGGATCAAATGTAAGTTCTAGTTGAGGTCAAGGGGGAAATGGTTCATTCAAAGACCATCTAACCTTCTGTCTTTTGTTCTGCGCACTGAGAACTTTCTCCTTGCCTCCCTTGGTTCAGTGAAAGGCGGCTGGGTACCGTCTGTGTCTGTAAAGTGTGCGTTCCGTGCAGATGGTCAATCTGGAGAGGTGGTCCTCTATCTCCCCTATGCGATCTGTGATATACCTCTTCAGGTAAGCAGGAGTTTAGGTAAGCGTAAAATCTAAGATGTATGAATCTGGAGATGTAACCTGGTAACTTGAGGCATGGTAGGTTTAATTCATAAAGTATTTGTGTGTAACTTTTGCAGCATGGGGAGACCAGCTGATTAGTTCTATATATATATTAAATTGCCTTAACAAAAGTATGTACTCCAATTTTGTAAGTGTTCTATTTGACACATCTCCCCCCACTGACTGACACCACAGAATATCAGAATACTTTGTACTAATATTTAAATGAACAATGGTAGCAGAGTAAACGTGGCTTCAGATCTGTAAAAAGCTGTTGACCAGGATGTGTGTTATACTGGATTGACTTAAGTGTGTAGTTGTATTCCTTAAATATTTAACATCTGTCTGCCTGCAAACCCTCTCTCTCTCTCTCTTCTAAGGATGGGTCACACACCCTCTCCGTGTTTTCAGAAGGAGAACACACTTATTCTTGTGCATCGCTCCCTTTGCCCCAAACCTTTCAGCCCCCCCCTACTGCTCCACCTGTCAGAGATCCTCCTTTTTACCCCATGATACCTGGCCCCTTTCCCCCTGTCAAGCCTCTGGTCCAGCCTGCTGCTCCTCCTCCACTTGACATTCCCACTATGGTAATGTCTCGCTATAACTACTATCCCATAATTCCCTTCCTGAGCTCAGGTTCCATTCCTGGTCCTCCCCTGCCCTCTATTGGCTATCCTCCCTACAATCGTATGGTACCCCTGTTTCTTCCATACCCTCTGCCCCCTAACCCTACACCAGGTAGCCTCACGTACACAACCTCCAGCTATAAGACTCCTGTTTCCACCACTTTCATGCCTCCAATCTGGGCTCCTACTGACCCAGTCCGTCCTGTGGTCAGTACCCCGGAAAGACCCATCTGGCAGAAGTTACCGGTGCCATACCCTGTAGAATGGCCTCCCTCCGCTTGGACCACTCCTCCTCCATCAGTGACCACATGGGTCCCTGAGTCTCCTGCAAGTCCACCCCCTGGTCCTCTGCCAGTCTCTGTGGGCGTCCCTACAATCCCCCCTCAGTTCCAGCCCGCTCTGATGTGCAATACCAACTCGATGACCATCTCGCTGCCCTCTGCCCGGCCCGGATCGGTCAGAGTCTTAGGTGAGCAGTCTTGCTGAGTAGTGATCGATGGACTCGTCGGCCTGTTGTAGTAGCCTTATGTCATCATGGTAAAAGTCTGGCATGATTCACGATGGTGCTTCCTGGTGTCACTTGAATGACAGATTCATTTTGTTTAAGCGGGAGTGTGAGATTTTATTTATTTTTTTATAGAAGGAACTGGCTGATGGCACTGACTGTTTGGTTGAGGGAAGTCAGTTTTAAACATTATATATGCTAAGCATGAATCTGCTGTTCCAGGCCGAGAGAATGTTTGGATGCCATTAAAAAATGCCCCAGCGAACTGCTTTTACAAGATCCAGGCCACTGGCACCCGTGGGCTGAGGATCTCATCCCCTCTTCCTGCTTGTCACACGCGTAATCAGGTAAGTACCCCCCACACACACACAGGACCTGCTGCCCTCTGCTGCATGTTCTATGCTGTTCAGTTACTCACTCGTTGCTCCTCCTCTGTCCCAGTCATCCACTTCTTCTGTCGTCATAAAGTTCTGGGATGCTTTGCTGAGACGACGCCGGATCCTGGAGATGCGTTGCCCACTGCCCACCAGCCTTCCCACGTTATTTCCATCTCCACCTCCTCCCCCCGTTTTGCAAACCTCCTTTAGTCCTGCCCCACTCCTCAAGCCCCAGGTGCTGTGCTCCGCCAAGGACATGCATGTGGAATTGCCCCCAGGACCCCTCAGGGCTGTAGGTCTTAAGGGTAAGAACATGGGAGAATGTCAGAGAACCTGCATATAGCTCATTTTGTGCATATTTTTAAATATGAATTGGCAAAATAACTGGAATACAAACTTAACCTTTGGTCCCTTGTGCGTAGCACACGGTGCACGTAATGGTGGATTTAAATGTCACTGGTAAATGTGCTTGATACTCCTGTCATTTTGCACGGCCATCCAGACGGCGAGGGCGCTGTGATTCGTCTGAAGGATGCCCCCAAGCATTGTGGGTATGCAATTAATAGGGGGAAAAATGGTGTCATCTCACTGATGCTACCCTTCAGTTCCTGTCACATGTCTATGCAGGTTTGTAGAAATGAGGCTATCAGGCCTTACCTTGTACCCAATAGCGGGAATGAATGAATGAAGCAAGGACCATGTGAAATTTTATCAGGGTGATAAGTACAGAGTTGACGTGACGTATCGAACTGCCAATGGTGAAGAGGAAACTACATTATCTTGCCCGGTCCGCCTGCCCTTCACCAAGCAAGGTAAACACATTGTTATTCTGTAACACTGTATTCCTACTCTAGATTAACTACAGAAGGCCTTGTTACTACAGCAGCTCTTGTAACCTCTGACTACTACTAAAATGGAAGGTCCCCTTTAGGTGTCTGAAACTGGTCTTCATCATGAGAACCCTTCCAACTGTCCTAACCAAAGAAGGCGTCAGTTCAAATCCAGTGACCTTCTGTAAACATTAAGGGAGTGGTTTACGGCTCTGTTCCTGCTGTGACTCTGTAGATCCTGTTTTTTTTTTTTTTGTTGCAGTGAAACTCGCAGCAAAGCTAACATGTTTGCGTATTGTTGGGTCTGTTGACGTTGTTAAAATACCTCTTGTTGGAGTGTTTAGCTGGACCCCTGGTGTTCCTGTTACTGCCTGCCTATAAACGATTTAAGTGAATGAATCGAATTAATGATGCTAATTTAGTGCCAAATGTAGGAATGATGCTAATATAAAATGATGACAACCCAATGTCCATTTAAGGTCTGTATTCTCTTAAGACGGACAAATTGAATTGGGTCTTGATTCCATGTTTTAGTTCTCTTGTTCAGTCCTGTAAGTACTGACATTCTGTAGTCCTGCTGTCCCTCAGAGTGCGATCTCTCCATTGACAAACGCATCCCTTGTGGGTCCGAATCACCCCCTCCTGAGGAATGTCATTCCAGGGGCTGCTGCTACTCTTCAGACTCTGGGGCTTGTTTTTACCCCATGGATGGTCAGTATCTCAGTTCGGAGTGTCATGGTGGTGGGTGAGAGGCCTGGAATACATTCTTCCCTCGGACCCAAGGCGCCGAAAAGACCTGTAATTCTCAGCCGTTTGGTACTTTTTAAAATGGGTACCGCTGACTTGTTCACTTTTTTTTTTTTAAGAGTGCACGGTGGACCGGCATTTTGTGTTCTCCGTGCCTGCGTCCCTCACGGAACCTCCCCTCTCTCCTGCCTCGCTTTTTGTGGCCGGGAACTCCTCCTGCACCCCTCAGACTGTCACCCCCAACTTTGCCTTGTTCAGGGTTCCTCTGGACGGGTGTGGGGCACACAGATACGTAAGTGTCGAGGCGGCTCGTTCTGTCGCGCCGTGGCGACCGGAAACTGGCACCGTTTCCCTTGTGTGGGCAGGAGATCGGACAGACGGTGGTTTACATGTTGGAGATCGTCAACACCATCCGGTCCATTGCCCTCAGCTATGGCGCTATTACAAGGGATGCTCCTCTCAGGTAAAGCTGAAGATCACAAATGATCTCATTCGCTCTAGCAGTGTTTCCCGGCCCGGTCCTCAGGGACCTTGGTCAGTCCACATTTTTGCTCCCTGCCTGACATCAGGGGTGGACAGCCTGATCCGTTGAGGCCCGGTGCGGGTTTTTTGGATGGCCTCTCAATCAGCCAATAATAAAGCAGTGACTCTCAACCCCAGTCCTGAGGACCCACTGTTATTGGCTGTTATACGCCATCCCAAAAACCCGCCCCCACAGCGGCTCCCCATGGATCAGTTTTGCCACCCCCGGTCCACATTTTTGCTCCATTACAGGAGCAGGGAGTGAGCAGGCCCACTAGGACTCGATTGTGGAAAGGCTGGGTTATAGCACTGTAACTATTCCTCCTTTTCGGTGATGAGGTGTCTTTGGATATCCCCGGTGTGTGTTGGCTGTGGAAAAACCTGCTTATTTAAATATTACTTTTTGGAATGTTAACAGAGATGCTTCAATGCATTACTCCCAAAATCATGGAATTTCGATTTCGTGCTGCAGGCGTAATTTGACTCTCCGCTTCTCCCCCCCCAGATTATTAGTGGAGTGCAGGTTTCTTCCCGGCTCCCAAGTCACCGTGGGCTACTTGGTGAAAACTCCGTCTCTTGGCCCTTCCATCCAGGCTCAGGGCCTCTTTGGTGTGCAGCTGAGGATCGCTACAGGTGCATGACATCTGCCATCTTCTTGCATCTCACTGTATACTCTGTAGAAGTAATGGTAAACGGACTGCATTTATATAGCGCTTTTCTACTCCTATGAATACTCAAAGCGCTTTACAATACATGCCTCACATTCACCATCCACACTCACATTCATACACCGGTGGCAGAGGCTGCCATGCAAGGCGCCAACCTGCACACCGGGAGCAGTTTGGGGTTCAATGTCTTGCTCAAGGACACTTTGATGGGGTCAGGAGGACCCGGGGCTCGAACCTGCAACCTTCCGGTTGCCGAATGATAGCACTACCTCCCGCGCCACCATCTTCACCATCATTCCAAGTGACACAAAGAACATTTTTGACTTTTAAATTGCTGAATGAGATGCATTAGAAATGGACCATCTGATTGCTTGTCTTCCCCCAGACCAGGACTATACAAGCTACTACCCCCAGTACCACCGTCCTTTGCACCTCCTCCTGGGGAAGGTACTGTACCTGGAGGTGCGCCTCCTGAACGCCCCTGACCCGGATGTGTTGCTTCTGGTGCATTACTGCCTGGCCTACCCTCGCTCGGCACAGTCTGCCTGGGTGCTCATCTATAATGGGTGAGACGTCCACCTCTTGACGTACAATGCTAAAAGATTCTATGGGTCCAGTTCTCTGGGTCTCAGAAACTGGACAGGGGCCACCAGCTTGGATGGATTTTTGTTGACCTCCTTGCACTTCCAGCTGTCCCAATCGCCTAGACTCTTCCCCACCACAACTCCCGCCACCATCAACTCTTCCAAAACATACCAGAAGGTTCACCATCACTACATTCCAGTTCCTCTCCCCTGATAGCAATTTTATATTGGATGAAGAGGTGAGAGCAGCTTTTCGAAATGTCAACGCATGTGTTGTCCATTCAGCCTTAATCTGTTCCTCCCAACCCCACAGATCTACTTCATGTGTTCAACTGAAGTCTGCTCGCCCTCTGAAGGCCCTTGTGTGGAGGGTTGCTTCGGTGGCGAGAACAATGTAAGCAGGGCAAGGCTCCTGTGAATCCCCGTGCTTTGGAAGCACTTGGTGTTGGGACAGCTGCACTTGCATATTAGGAAAAACACTTCATGCTGACTGGTGGAAAATGAGCACATTGATAATTAATGACACCTCCTGCGTGTGTGCTTACCCCCAGTCTGCCCAGAGATCCAGTTTTAGCAGGAGCCTGAAGACCATTAGCCACCAGGATGTGACTGGTAAGGGAAGCTCAACGCAGCCTTCAGCTGCAGAAATTTAATCTTGCGAGTCTTAAAACTGCATTAACTACTTCCTTTCATCTGCAGGCTTGGCATTGACTACCAAAAATAAGACGTTGTGAAGACATCCTCACGGGCCTTTGTGCCGCTGTTGATGGGGTATTCCCCCCCCCCCTTTCTCTCTGATCTTGAACAGTCACCTGCCACAACCATCTCAAATACAGTGTATATACAAAATCATCTGGGAACTTCTTGGCTTTTGTTTAGATGTGTTAAGAATCTGCTGCTAAATGAGGGGGAAGTGTGAAATGGGTGCTATTGGGAGGGGGGCATACAGTCATTGCATGATCTTTAGTGGTGGAAAGGCTGCTGCAAGTCGTGTATTTTGGAACTGGAAATAATGGTGATTGAACTGGGTTAGGAGCTCATGTGATGTGCTGTGCTGTGCTGTGACCCACACAACAGTGGGGAATTCCCATTTGTGTGAAATGCACAAATTGCACAAATGTATCCC